TCTTCTCATCAAGTTCAGCCACGGCAAAGAGTTTCATTGATTCGGTACCAAACTGCAACTTAGATTCATGCGACCGCTACCGATCGAAGCGCAACCAACGCGGATTAGGCCTAGCTTGCCCTTTGGTATGTTGTCGCGGAAAGTTTGTCCAAAACATGAAGACTTAACGTAAAAAAGATCGCACTAGCAGTGAACCAAGAACAGCGCGCATGATACGAAGTTCCCGTTCGTGGTCGGCAGATCAGCAACGACGACAACTTGCCAAGCTTACGTACGACAGCGCACTGGCGGCAAAAGTGAAAGCTCGCGTCACAAAATCATAAAAGGTTTTCAATTTAAGGACAAGAAAGCAAACACGATATTTGTTGCAAGCTCGATAATGACGACGTTTTTCCCGACAGAAAACTGTTAAGCCCCGCCGCGGTGGTCTAGTGGCTAAGGTACTCGGCTGCTGACCCGCAGGTCGTGGGGTGGAATCCCGGCTGCGGTGGCTGCATTTCCAATGGAGGCGAAAATGTTGTAGGCCCGTGTGCTCAGATTTGGGTACACGTTAAAGAACCCCAGGTGGTTGAAATTTCCGGAGCCCTCCCCTACGGCGTCTCTCATAATCATATGGTGGTTTTGGGATGTTAAACTCCACAAATCAATCAATCAGGAAACTGCTAAGTGCATGCAGTTGATAAGGATGGGATCGCACGTGCCACGTTGAGCGGCGCACTGCCGAAGCCACGCTAGCGACGCAGTACACTGTAGCCACGTCGGTGCCGGTGCAAAGGCTTATCTGTCACCGAGGCAACGGTCCTCTTTCCTTACTTTTCAAGCCCATTCAATGCACTGCGGTCTTTTTTATTTTCTTTTTTTCCTTTCCTCCGCCCTTCGTTCGTTCAATTCGTGTCCCCTCCTCCTCCGTAACGACCTCGTTCGCTCTCCAGCGGCGCACCCAGCACGCCTCCTTATGGAAGCGCACTCGCTATTGTGTTTGTCACAAACAATTTCTGGCAACCGCATTATAACCTGTCTTTCGTTTTGGGGGACTGCACAATAAGTGGTATGCGTATACATCAGGTTCTATGGGCAGGTAAACGGAAGTATAAAAAGACCACATTGTAAGCAGTTCTGCACTATAAGTGGTTATGTTATAAGTGGCATACACAGTAAATATAGTTCCACAACTAATTTTGCCTCCTAAAGTGCTTACCACAAAGCGATTTCTTACTTTTTGCCAAAGTGCGGAAAACATTTTGTCACTCTCGTACAACTGTCTGACACCATGCGGTGGCCACGGCAAGAAGCATTTTGAAAGTACAGCGCGGTTCGGGATATGTAGCATGGTATAGTGACAGAGCAGACATAATTGGTAGTCCACGATACATGCATTCTGCGGTCTGCTTCTAAGCAAAAACATAGTTTTGTAAACTCGGTGTGGCCGCAGAGAGCCAAATCGTCTACTGGCTAGCTGGGTGCAGTGCTTCACCTACTTGGCCCACGCCGTGACTACTGATCCGCTTGCTGTAGAATACACCAACTCCGCCTTGGATGGTACACAGAGGATGGTACACAGATCGTGTTGTAGTTATCGGCCGATTTCTACACGTATAAAAATAATGGAAACTGTTTGCAGCATACTGCCATCTACAAGTTCAGTAGTGGTGTAAACTTTTATGGTGCAAAATGGTTTCCCTGTATGAAGTTGGTACGCACTCACTGGGGGGCATAAGACGGACCACTATAGCTTGAGCAGTTTGGAATGCATTAGTCTCTGTGGAACTCGGTCGGGGATTCATCACAACTTTGTAACCGTTAGTACATTTTAAGCAGGTACGTACTAACGAGGTTGGACTGTATACATATATGTACCCAAGAACCAGTTTAAAGCATTTGTAGCACAAGTGATGGGACACACGGTCAGAAAACGTAGGGCTAAACATAATTTTAAAAAATAAACTCTTCATCTGTTAGAGCCACCAAAGGTTGACCAATGCATTTTTTCGCACACCTTTTTATATACAGTTGTACCCAGCTACAACAAAACTGGCGGGATGCGGAAAAATCTTAATGTAGGGAAAATTTTGTGTAGAGAAATTGAAAACAATATAGCTGGTTTGAGCTAGCAGAACAAAAGAACTAATTTCCAAAATTTGAAAAGTGTCGGCTGCTTTTTTTTTTAGCAGCGTCTAGACACGATTCTCAAACGTTGTGGGGTCTCCACAAGGCGAGCACCTCGCCATGCTACGCTCTTGAAGTGAACTGACACAGAAGACGCAGTCGGTACAAACCAAATAACATACATTTATTTAAGTAATTTACAACGACGATATTGTCCGCCGAATCAGTACATCAAACCTTATCAACATGGCAAGTCATCATTACACAAAATTACCAAACACTCAAACAACATAACACAAGAGCACACAAAAGGCGGCGTCGCCAACACTTCACTCACCACGAGGGCCTACCGCAGGCGGCCCGCAGTGCCGTCCACGGCAGACCCACCGCAAGAGACAACCGTTCGTGGCAGCCGCTACGCGCAGAAGAGAGCTCACTCAACTCTCGCCCACCAACAAAACCTGCCTTCCGCCAGGGGTTACCGCCGGCACTACCACTCTACCAACAGTGGTACTCAACGCGAACACAACGCCATCTGGCGCCCGACGGTCGTCACCGGAAATGCGGCCTTGGGGCGAGACACGTGCGCCACACAGCGCAAACAACTTTACAGGGGGTGTCAGCACCCCCACAACGTGCATAGCAACACCATGTTGAAAAGCATGCTGAAACAACGGCCACAATGGCTTTCATGAACGAAGCTAACAGTTGCACCAACACGCTGTCTGCTGTCAGAAGTTATCCGACAAGTCGGGATTCAGACGTGTTAGGTGGAGTGGTCACCTATGCCTTCTTTTATGCTATTCTTATGATCCACTAGTAGCGGCTGGCTTATCTTGTTGATAACGCAAACGAGCAACCAGTCTTGCCAGTGACGACACTAGGCAAGCGCGAAAATAACCAAAAGCACTAGCATCGGAAAAGGCGTCATTTCGTGGATGCACACAGGAGCTGAGTGTAAGAAACTAAGCTTCAGCCTCGGATTGTACGCGGCTCAGAAGAGAGTCAGTGGCAAAAGCAGGGCAGTCTCATGGCTATCACTATCAGGCAATGCTGGTCTCCATGCTTAGTAAAAAGTGGAAGTTACTTGTGTTGCCAACGCATCTTTTAAACTTTGAAGACATATTATCATGTTCTGAAAATGCATCAATATGTTCAAGATTGTGTTCAGTGCATGACATTCAATATCTGAGCCTGGAATTGCATCGTCAAATTTTGTTGAAGCGGAACGGCAGAAGAAAAAGTGCTTGTTGTGGCAAGAACATTTATGCATTGACTTCTATGTACTCCTGATGGGGAACCAAGAATTTTTTGTTGAAGCAGCATTCATTGTAGTGGGGTCCGATGGTAAAAGGTTGCTGTAACATGACGTGTCAGTTTGACTTTATCTACAAACAAAATATCAGTAATTTGAAAAACGAGGTCACAATGCCGTGATTTACAATGATCAGGCAAGTGTGAAAAATGTTTCTTTTCTCAGTAAGTTAGCGTGCTCTTTTAAATGTGTGTTCATAAAGCGGCCAGCCTGTTCTAAACCTTCCCTTTTCGGCATTTTTGAGTGCACTTATGAGCGCGTATTTTAGTGCACTTGGGTCTCGCCACCACTGGCACATACGCGCGGCAATACGTAACGATTGTATTATGGTTGTGCATGCAGGTTTGTCTGCTGCGAGTGAGTCAAGCAAGGTTTCTTTTCATTTGGACTGCTGCCTAATTGCAGAATTGGAACAACACTAGTTACATAAAGTTCATATGAACAAAAATTGCTGACCAGTTTCGATTCGGAATCACACTGAGGAGTAACTTCTCTGAAGCATACACAGCATGATAATTCTGATTGGCACGAAGGTATCATAAGCCTGATGTGGGAGGAAATTTCACAGGAAAGACACACATTGCCATGAATAGCTGCTGCACAACGTTAAAATGTCCTTGCATGCGCAGCAATTTACGGGTATTAAGGTGTTATTATAGGTGAGCTGTCATGAGGTGGTGCCAGATGGTAACAATTTTTTTATTCTCTGTACTGATTAGAGCAGAGCATTCTGTTGTACAAGGAAAAGAGATAGAGACGGAGAGGATATTACAAATAATTTCTTTGGAATCTAGTAAGGTGGTGGAAGAGTTATATAAAGCTTATTGACAACCACCCGTTTGCAACGCTAAGCTACGGGGAAGTCTGTATGTATTTCTCAGAATTGAAAGCTTTCCACTTGAAAGTATAGCTTTGCAGTGGCTGAAGTCCTGGTTAGCTCAATTTGTACATTTAGAAAAACTTGTTGCGGGGAAAGTTGGTACATAACTTTGAGGAAAATGTTAGACACCTAAGCATCATCACTTGTTCTGGTGGTACTTAGGCAACTAAAAATATTTCCTAATTGGTAGAGCGACTGCCCCAATACAGGTTTTAGTTCTAGGTGAAGCAAGAGGCTTTCTTGAAAACTGTGTGGTCTTTCTTGTAGCCTAGTGCTAGAAACGGGGGATTTTCAATTTTCCTTTCATAATAACAGAAGGTGCTTAATCAAGTTGCAACACATTGAATAAAAATAAATTGTTTGTTGTAATGTTAACTGTTTGTCATGGACTTTTTGCATATCAGCTTCAAAAGCCTCTTCTCGACTAACTTGTCAAGAAGACGATACAAGAAATCATGCAAGACTCAAGTCTTGTGTAGTTAATGTAAGTGGGGAACATAGTGGCTCTGCTATTCTGTGCTTGACTCACTGAACCTGTGATCTTGATAAATGTTCCTAGGTTATTCAAGTGTATCCTTAAAACAGATTGTTGGCATATGTGCATCTCCTTTTTACTTGTGTGCTATTGTACCTGATTGATGACATTCCTGTTTACATTATGCACTTTAATATTATTTTTTTTTTTTTTTCGTTCAACAGGTTCAGGTGCGGCCTGGCCAGACAGTGATGGAGGCACTGTCCAAGGCGATGAAACGAAGGAAGCTCACCACCGAGATGTGTGTGGTGTTCAAATGCAGCACAAGGTGCGCATATTGGTTCTTTGGCTGGAGTTTAACATGTGTCTATCCTAAGGCAACACAGGGAAACTAGCATCATCTGGAAAAACACAAACCATATTATCTGATTCCAATGGGACGAGCAGTTGAAGGCATGAAAAAACTTAAGGACATGCAGCATGCATGCATGACCATCGTGATAATTCACAACTGGAGAGATTTGTTAAACAAACATAAACTTGCCTAGGTAAAAATTAAAACGAAGAAGCATTGTCATTTTGGGTCCCGTACGGGTCTCATGATCACAATAAAGATGTTAGTATGGGCATGGGGCTACTTATGGGTCAGGTGGCAAAGTGTGCGGGTGTATATCTCAAGTAGATCCTGTTTCTCGTGCGGCTAGTGAATTGAATGTCAAAAGATCCCATTCAGTCGTCTAGCCGCACGATGAGCAGAACAAGTTGTCTAAGTCGTAATATTAATAGTCAGCGCCCTTCACTCCCACGCCATCAAGCCTCCAAAGACACACGTGCACTGTCATTGCGGTGACCCTAGCACTGAGCAATGGGATGTATAGTCCGTCGAGGTAGCATCCATGTGAAGGAACACACCTTCTCATGTACCTCACTGGCTCAAGCTCAAAGTCGTTGGGTGGCATCGTGACAATTTGCTGGCATGCTCATAATGCTCGATTGAGGTGAACGGCCAGGGCATGGGGCCCAAAGCTCAGACCACAATCGACGCTGGCCGTGCACAGATCCACGAATCACTGTTCCTTCTCTTCTTTACTGTTGCGGGCTTAGGGTTTTGCCCCTATGGGATACTCATCGTATTCATTGCATTCTCCCTACCCTCCCCCGTTTTGGAAAGTTGCATGCACTGCACTTGCACTGCTGCTGTTGAAGGAGTTCATGGAGCATGCAATGTCTCGATGCCAAGGTGCTAAAGGATATCTAAGGGATGTTAGTCTGACAATTTGGTTACTGCTATGCATTGAGTTTCTCACAAAATACCTAGAGGGAAGTGTGGCGTCACCGTCTATGCGAATTTCTTAACAGTGGTAATGAGGATGTATGTGTTGGAGCACTGGGAATGACGATGTATGTGTTGGCGAGGCTTTTGTTGGCTTGTGTTGAGTGAGGCTTCGGCTCAGAAGGGAATATGAATACGACTGCATAAATAAAGCTTCTCTAAAACAAAACGTTTATAAGGAGATCTCATTCACGCATATTACAGTTAAACCTGCTTATAACGAACCTCCATATATAACGAGGTTTTTCTATTCCCCGTCGTTGCTCCCTAGAATCACATGTATTTCTGACCTCTATGTAACAGAGTAACAGTGGGAAACAACCTTGATTGATTGATATGTGGGGTTTAACGTCCCAAAACCACCAAGGAAATAACCTTGATATAACGAATTTTTTCCTCGGACAATCTAGGAATTTCGCTCCGCATTTTGTCATTTTGGTACTAGCATGCATCTTCCTCAGCTGCCCCGCCGCCGCCGAACGGCGCGCACAGCGCACCAGGCGATAGCGAGCCCTCGTTATTGCACATCGGAAAGTGCGATGCGGGCAGGCGAGCTTGTACACCACGAGCCGGCGTTACCGCCACCCGCCAGTCTCATCGCCGCGTGCCCACGTACGCGCGGGTGTGCCTCTCCCCCCCCCCCCCCCCCCACGCTTTAAACCAAAATAAAGAAATAGTAAAATTAACGGAATAGTTTTTTGCGTTATTCGTGTCCGTCTCCGCGTCGTTCGCTCTTCATTTTCGATGCCGTGCGCACGTGCATAGTTTCACTGCAGACGCATGGTGTGGCCCCTGACGACGTTCCGCTTTGCTTTTTTTTTTATTGCGACATAGCAGTTATATGGACAGTCTCGGCTGGTTTCTTATCGGCGCCGCAGCTGTCATTCACTGTATATATATAAGTATCTATATATATGAAAACTCAACAACAACAAAAAAAACCGCCCAAGCTCGGCACCCAGCTTGTCAGGATGTTCCCGCCGGCGTGTCCTTATCATTCACGCGTACTTTGCCCCGTGGAGGGGGGGGGGGGGGGGTTTGATGTTTGTGTGTTGCGCTTATTTTTCGGCGGGGAGAATCGCGCGCCTTCGACCTTGGCCGGAACGATTGCGTTGTTGCAAGGCGCACAAAGCTCACTTTGCTCGATAGACAGGCGCCGTTTGCAAAGACGGTGCGCTTTTCAAACAGCGAAGAAACAACTGGGGCATTTGTTAGTTTGCACTTATATCTGTACCTGTGATTACATTTAGTGTGTCGTTTTTGTTTTTCTTTAATTAGCACGTTAATTGTCAAGCAGTAAACATTGTTCGCTCTCGTTCTGTGTATGTTGTTTTCGCGCGTCATTTGTGCTTGAGCAGCGCACTACATGCTTTGATCTGCTTGCCGTTCTCAGCATTACATTCCAAGTTGTCATTGCTTCGCCCTTGTGACGAAACTGTGACTTTATTTAATTTCGGAAAACCGTGTCGTTACCACAGAGGGGTTGTCAGATTAGGCGCTGATGGAAACTCGCTGAGACCACGGTGACGACAGATCTTCGGAGGTTGACTTGTCTCGCGCTTCCGTTTTTCGCCGCGCCGCAGTTTGCAGGCTTAGCTTTCGCTATTAGTCGATTAGTTCTGGCAACAACGAGGGCGTGTTGAATGCATCGCAATGAACGCGATTGCAAAAAAAAATTATAATGTTATAAGAAGTAAGGCTGGCAGCCAACTCTTTTGGATCTGATATCGTGGAACTCCTACAAAACGCTGGTGTGAGCAAATACGGCCGCTCCCGAGTGAAGTACTCTTTTCACACCATCCCTTCGCGTAGAAACCGCACTGATACTCACCGAGATAGCAAGCACGGCAGTGATCGCGATTACCCGATTACCCTTAAAATACAAGTTCATTATTGCTGCTTGAGCGATCCCACCGTCCTCCTTCTTTCCCGCGTTGTTTCACACTTGTTTAAGACGGTGGTTTACTTTGAACATTCGACGGCAGTTTTAACACACGGGAGATGTAATCTTATGCACTTTCCAAGCGATAGGGAACTCATTTGTTCTCTACGAGCGCTCTTGCGCTTTTACCAGCTCGTGCAAAGTTGCTATGCGCGGGGGCATGTTATCAATCTAGACTTGTTAAGGAACATGGCGGTGACGGCGAAAACCCGCTGAAAGTGTCCAACCCGCTGAAAGTGTCCATCACGATAATAATGCAGTTTTTTTACTGTAAAGTAAGTGTTTTGGGATAGCTCTGCCTTTAGTCCTCTTTTTGTTTCATTTGCACGTTTATTTTCCGAATTTTCGTACTGAACCTGCATATAACGAAATCCTTTTTATAACAAATTTTTCTGGGATATTACTAATTTCGTTATATCCAGGTTAACTGTATATTATAAAATAGAAGTCCACTTACCTTGATGGCACAACCAAATGGCAAAAGAAAGAAACAGACGACATAAAAGTGGCGAAGGAAACGCTTTCTTTGTCGTCTGCCTACCAAGTTTAGCGGTTGTTGGTTACTTCTAACGCTTTGTAAAATTGTACATTGATGCAGAAGGTTCTAGTATTAAAACACGTTTCTGTGCAATGACAAAAATGAATAGCCTATTATGTGCTTTTTATAAATAAGAAATCAGTCATTTTAACGTTAAGCTAAACACGTCTTCAAGGTATACAAATGCGAGTCAATTTTGGAGCTCACATATCCCGTCATTCCCTTGCATCCAGCAGCTCACTAGCGCCAGATTTCTCTCTAGGTATGATTGTGAGAAACTCTATGCTGCTATGCATCTTATTCGAAGTCCATTGTCGAACGACAGTTTGGTTTGGAATCTGTGCTCCGGAATTATAGCCCGAGTTTTTCTTTTTCCACGTAATAGTGCAGAATCAGTATTATTCCTTCCTATCCGTTTCTGTGTACAGCAGTAGCTTCTTGATATTGATGAGATAGAAGGAACAGTATTCAACCGAAAAACCGGGGGCCTATGTGCCAAGCTATGCAGCTCACAACTCGGCACAACTTTCAGGTGTCCCAAAGTTCATTTCTTTCTGGACAGTGCAAACTACATTCTTCTGGCTCAAGGTGTTCCAAGCTGTGCTAGTACTTCGGGGATCCTTGCCCCCTCTTGCTTGAAGCTGTACCATCTGGCTTTATTTCACGATTTCTCATTGCCACTTGTTTTACGGTGGGCTTCTGGTTAGATGCCACAGTTGGCACAGTACTTGTATGACTTGCGTTATCGACATTGCTATGCAGCTCCAGAGCAACAGTCACACATACGCATGCCGAGCTCTTTGTTTTGCCGAGAGGTTATAACTGACCAATGCATAGACTGTGCTACTCCCTACTGCTGCCAACTATGTTGCCATCACATGCCGGCTTAACACGTTTAGTTGCAGACTGTGCGTCCAGAGCAACATCATCACATTCTCTAATATTCACATTTTGGCGTGTGAATAACAGATTTTTGTCAACACCAGGAATCTGTCTCGTCTCAGTGAGGTTCAACTGTTCTCTTGGTTAGCCTCGTTAAGCCCTGTTCTGTTTCTTGGAATCTCTTGTATGTGTGCGATAGCCGTGCATATCTCTCACAACAGCTTCTCTCCTTCCAGTCACATATACTGCAGCTCAGAATCAATCTCCTCCTGTTCCTCCTTGAGGTCCTCTCGCAGAATCCACTCCATAGCTGAGTAAGATCACGTGACCTTCCCTCCAAATACATGGTAGTCTTTGCACATTAACAGGCATCGTGTGTGCGACCAATTGTCAGCTAAAAGATGGTAGGATTCTGGCAGAACCTACCAAAAGATGGATCTTGGCAGGGCTCGCCAGGTGTGGTAGGTTCATGGGCCCAGGAGCTCGAGCAACAGGAGACGAGATGTGGACGAGGGCAGTACGTTTATGTACAACACGGAGAGATGTGGGATAACATGCAAATAAACGAGGGTCCATATGTTGGAATTCTTTGTAGTACTTTAGGGGCAGTAGATACAGAGGTTCACTTCTGTTAAGTAAGCTTAATGCTCGTATTATTCTACCACTCGCGAATCCTCAGCGTCGTGGCTGTCGTAGGGCCAAAACAATGTCTTCTTGGGTTGCCCTCAGGACCTGGGCGGCAGCCTGAGAACATCACTGGCCGAAGACCTCTAGGATAAGCTGGACCACGAGGTGCCATGGTTGCTCCTGCAACTCTCTCTTGGCCGATTTAGTGCACTTTGTCTCTTCACTCAAGTTCCTCACGCGCCACTCTGCCGCAGGGACGTTGTCTTTATGTCTCTCGTGATCACCGCACCTTATTTGAAATTCTTCCCGACTTATCACATATGCCATGGTAGGCACATCTAGCTGTCAAGGCCGACAGTTTATAATGAAAATGTTTTTGACTGTGCCTTCAAACTAGTTAGCTTCATGCATGAATGAACAGTCATGCTCAATGTGAGTTGCAACATGGGGGCCACGGCTCGAGGCACCCTAATTTCGGGGATGGCACTGGCAAAAGTTAAATTGGTTTATAGAAAACCAGTAACTGAAACACTGTTTACAGCACTAGGTAATTTTTGCTATGTTGGCACTGCTTCGTAGTGCTGATGGCACTTTGGGCATGGACATCATGTTTTAACTCGCATTGAGCACGATTGTACGGTAACCGTGGATTCAAATGCAACATAAGTTTTTTAGTATGACTGGTACATATGTGTGATCGCTCAAGATAACCAGGTCTTGCCGTCACAAACCTGGTCTGTAATAATAATAATAATAGATTCAAGTCGATATTGGGCCAACATGACCAGTACGGAAAGTGGTGGAACTGGAAGTATATGATACGTTGACCTAAACTATCCTGTCTCAATTTGTGAGTCCTCTACATAGCCTGTTTATGACATGTTTTTGTGAGTTTCATGCTGACACGCTATTAAAATTGTTTTTCCCCTAAGGGCGGTCGTGGACTGGAGTGAGGATGTGAGCCACATCGAGGATGACGATATTCAGGTGGAGATCAAGGAGAAGTTCCCCGTCACCACGAGCATCTCGCACAATTTCGTGAGTCGGTCTTAGTTTCTTGCAGCGTTACATCCTTTGCCCCGCGTGTGCTAACCTGTGGACATTTTCTGTCTCTCACCAAAGGTGCGCAAGACGTTCTTCTCGTTGGCGTTTTGCGAGTGCTGCCGCAAGCTGCTCTTCCACGGCTTCCGGTGCCAGACGTGTGGCTACCGCTTTCACCAACGATGTGCCTCCAGTGTTCCCAAGTTGTGTCAGCCATTACGGGTGGAGAGTGACTACTATAAACAGTTAGTGGGCCTGCAGTATTTGAACTCTCTTTATCTTACAGTACAAAATTTTCTCAAACTGTAGCTCGCTGTTATCATGCAGCCATGGTCTGCCTGTCGGCAGCACAGCCTTTGGGTGTGCTTTGATGTGGGACTGTAAAGTCGTGCGTTTGATACGAGTGTAAAAACCAACTAGTGGTGTTGCGATTCTCTGCTACACCACCAGTTTTGGGTGACACTACCATTGCCCTGGCAAGTTGATGGCGGCACACCGCTCTTCCCTGTGCTTGGTGAGTTTGCGATCACTCGGGCATCGGAGAGGAACATAGCAGTTCAAGAAAGGAAACTGATCTTGAAAACTTTTCTTTAGAGCTGTGCAAATAGCAGTATTTTAGAAGTGAAGTGAATTCAAATATTTAAGTCTGCAAGTGAATTGAATACAATATTTCTCGAATAATTTTATAATGCTTTGAAGAATGCGGCATTGGGCAGGGTTTCACCGCCAGCATGCGGCCACGGAATAATCTGCTCTTGTACGTTCTGCAGGTTAGTAAAAAACATTCCTATTCCAAATGCACCACGAGTTTCCGGTGCCTGGTGGTGTTGCCTTGCCCAAGAGCCTTTTGTGATGGAGTGGCCGAGTGCTTTGATGCTGCGTGTATGTTGGTATTGCTTCTGAGTGGGGACATTGAAATGAACCCGGGCCCTAATGATTCTGCAATGCAGGAGCTACTTAAAGGTCAAAAAGAAATACTTGAGGTGATGGGAACAATTAGAAAGAAGCTCGACGACTACATTGCTCTTACGGATCAGAGGTTAGACTCAATTGAAAGTGAATTAAAATGCCTTGCCGGTAAAAGTGTACAATTTGAACGTTGTGAGAAAACAGTGGATCGAATATCGGCAGGCATTGTTGAGATGCAAGTGAAACTCGATGATCTTGAGAACAGAAGCAGACGTAATAATTTGGTTGTATATGGGTTGAAAGAAAGTACTGGTGAAACAACTGAATCACTTCGTAAAACTGTTCTTGACGATATTTTTACTGCTAAAATGGGTGTCACCTTAATGAGTGTTGAAAGAATTCACCGCATTGGAGCAAAGAAGCGGGGGAAGAACAGACCAGTCATTCTACGGCTTTACAACTTTCGAGAAAAGGCTGATCTCTACAAAAATGCACACAAATTGAAAGATTCTGGCTTATCAATCAGTGACGACTATTCCAAGCAGGTGCGCGAAAAAAGAAAGCACTTATGGGAATATGCAAAATCAAAAAAAAGCAGATGGTCACACAGTGAAACTTTCTTTTGATAAGCTTATCATTGACGGTAGGACTTACACTTGGGATAGCGTTGCGCAAGATGTCACAAAAGTAAGACGTTCGTGACGCGATAACAAAGAAGTGAGACAAAAGCCCCAAGGTGCCCGAGATATTGCCCTTCTGATGATGAATTGCCGAAGTGTTAAGAATAAAGCTGATGAGCTGGGTGGCCTTATTGGGTCAGTGAACGCTGACTTAGTCATTGGGTCAGAATCTTGGCTTGACGAAGCAGTTTCGAACTCTGAAGTGTTTCCCTGCAATTTTCAAGCATATCGAAAAGACCGGTCAACGCATGGTGGTGGTGTTTTCATTCTTGTGAAGGATTCTTTGATGTCCGAAGAAATTTTTATTGATAACAATGAAACTGAATCTGTTTGGTGCCGAGTAGTGCAAAGTAATCGTTCTAGTTTCATTGTTGGTGCTTTCTATCGGCCTCCTGTCTTTGAACCGAATGTTATGCGTCAGCTGAGAAAAATTGCCTGCACATTTTCTAAAGAATGTGTCGTTCTTGCTGGTGACTTTAATTTACCGGATGCTGAGTGGAATAACGGTAATTGTGTCTTAAAGTCTCAGGCAGCGACATACTGTGAATTGAAAACGTTGACTGACGTGCTCGGCCTCATGCAGTATGTTTCCAGTCCTACGCGAGGTGACAACATTCTGGATTTGTTGTTTTGTAATACCCCTGATGTCATTAATGAAACACACGTTATTCCCGGTATTAGTGATCACAACGCCGTCTTTGCAAAGCTAACAAGATCTCGGGTAAATACAAAGAAATGCGAATCTAGGAGAATCTTCTTTTATAGTAAAGCAAACTATCAGCAAATATCAGCTGGTCTTGAGCAACAATTTCTGTCTTTTGAATGCAGTGCAGACGAAGCAACTGTTGAGCAGCTATGGCAAGTGTTTAAGGAACGCATTACTGGGCTCATTCGGCGTCACGTCCCGAGCGTCTCAAGCGATAAACTGAGTAAAATAAAGAAACCTTGGATTAAGGGGCATCTTATTCAGCTTATCAAAAAGCGCAAGAGGGCTTTTTCCCGATACTGCCAAAAAAAATCCCCTGAAAATTTTAATAAAATGAAAGATTTGACATCACTTTATAAAATGGAACTGAAAGAAGCCAAGAAAAAGTATTTTAAGAGTCTGGCCGCTGACTTTTCTAATAAGAAAAGGTTTTGGAAATATATGAGACGATGTGGTACTGAGAAGGTTAGCCCACCAAACCTACGTTACGGTGGCGAGATTGTAATTGAGGATCGAGATAAAGCCACACTTTTTAACGACTTCTTTAAATCGGTCTTCCGCCCACCTACACAAGTGATTGTCACGAATAAAAAAGAACAATATTTGCCTATGGGTGAGATAGAGCTTTCATTCAATGGCATAATGAAGTTGTTACAGCGCATTGACGAAGGTAAAGCAACTGGCCCAGATGGCATATCACCAAGAGTTTTAAAACTTTGCTCTGAGGCAGTGGCTCGTTACCTTTATGTTATCTATAAAAAATCACTCGATGAAGGCAAGCTTCCTGATGATTGGAAAATAGCTAATGTTGTGCCAGTTTTCAAAAGTGGTTCTAAATCAGACGTATCAAATTACAGACCAATTTCTTTGACGCCGATTTGTTGTAAAGTACTTGAACATGTTCTTTTTTCTGCTTTAATGAATCACCTGACTTCAATTAAATTTTTTAATCCTAAACAACACGGATTTAGACAGGGTTTTTCATGCACAACCCAATTAATTGAATTCTATCATGATATAGCATCAGTTTTAGATAATCGAGGACAGATTGATTGTTTATTTTTAGACTTCAGAAAGGCTTTCGATACGGTATCACACTCTATTCTGATTCAAAAACTGCAGAACTTGAACATTCATCAAACCATTTGCCGTTGGATTGCGGACTATTTAACTTCAAGAAAACAAAAGGTTGTGCTTGGTGGATCTTGTTCGTGTTTAGCTTCGGTGACATCAGGGGTACCTCAGGGTTCCGTACTCGGTCCGCTTCTCTTCCTTGTGTTTATTAATGATATTTCGGATACAATTAGGTGTCGTATCAGAATGTTTGCTGACGACTGTGTGTTGTATACTGAATTGACCGACCAAACGGATTCCACCCAGCTTCAGGATGACCTTAATCACGTGGAGGCATGGTGTAAAAATAATGACATGGTATTAAACACGAATAAATGTGTTCACGTCAGTTTCACCAAAAAGGTTAATAGATTTACAAATCAGTACATCTTAAACAATGAAGTTATTAGGTATGAACACAAATATAAGTATTTGGGTGTCACGCTTTCTGAGGATGGGGGATGGTCTGAGCACATTGGCAATGTTGTAAGTAGAGCGGGAAAAGCCCTAGGCTTTTTACAAAGAAATCTTAAACATGTAACCAAGGAGGTTAAACAGGCCGCATATTATGCCTATGTGAGACCAATACTAGAATACGCCTGTCCTGTGTGGGATCCGTTTAACAAAATACATATTCATGAATTAGAGCGCATTCAGTCGATGGCAGCAAGATTTGTTCTGGGAAAATATGGCCGAACTGAAAGCTCCCGTTGTATGAAAAGAGAACTTAATTGGCAATACTTACAAGATCGAAGACGTAATCTAAGATTAAAACTATTTTATTCGATATATAACAATAAAACGGGCATTAATGCTTCAGATTATTTAAAAAAGCGTATTATCAATCCTCCCGTCATGATCACAAATTTAAAGTACGGCCATACAACCCCAGAACGGATCTTTTTAAGCATTCTTTTTTTCCGCAATCCATTGTTGAATGGAACACGTTACCAGCCGATGTAGTTGGCCGCAAGACTGCGGATTCATTTTATGAGGCTCTGTGCCCCCCGCAATAATGCCTAAGTGGCGCTGCGGGTTTTGTTTCAAATAAAAAAAAAATAATAAAAGAAATTACAGAAAAGAGAGAGCAAGTGACAATTTCATAAAAGGCAAAGAGATGGGCCTGAGCTGGTGTGCTGTAGCCTGCTAAATTAAACAGGAGATAAGGGAAGGAGAATAAAAAGAGAGACACACGGGGATGATAAAGACAAGAAGAGGTGGTGCATATCTGCAGTAGCCACTTGGCACAGTGTCCAGTCCAGCACTTTTGCTAAATTCTAGAACAGCCCTCGTAGCAGTTTTTGACACTGTATTGGTTGCACATTGCTGACAAAAGGCACCTTTCACTTAGTGGTGTTTGTCCGATGTCTGCCAGCATTGAAGTTAGCATCTTCTTTTGTATCACGTATAGTGAGCAGTAATTGTAGATGATCTCAGCATATTATTATGAGATAGCAGCATGAATGGCACAACATTAATCAGAACTAAAAAAACAAGAAGGCTAATAAACGTTTAGGCTGTGTTATTTGTAGTAACTGTGACATAAATGTGAAGTAAAGGAAAAGATAACTTGCCCTGCCAGCAGGGGCCAAATCTGCAACCTTCAAATTCTGCTTCAATGAGCTTATCAATTCAGCTATGGTGACAGACATCTTCTTGTCCACTTTATGGGGTACTTTGTCAAATATTCGTTGCAACTGCATGCACTTAAATTGGGCAAGTCAAGCTTTGCTGCATGCAGTTACATTTTTCATGCATGCAGCCTGCTGGCCATGCCAGACATGGTGGGTGGCCCCCAGTACGAGTCAGGTGTGTACCCGCCCTTCATGCCCCCTCCCGGTGGAGGGGGAGAGCCTGTCCTCTCACCCACCAGTGCACCCCTGAGCGTCCCACGGACACACCCGCCCCCCCTGGGTCAGAGGGAGCGCTCCACATCTGCACCCAACGTTTGCTACAACCTAGTCTCCGGGTCGGACTTCTCCGCTGAGGTGACGTATGCTCTCGTGATGTTTTTTGTTTTTTTTTTTTTTCCATTGATGCTGCTTCAACTTGATGTTATCGTGCATTAAAGGCAAGGTTATTAGGAAATGCACCTTGAAAAAAAAATACAAATCAAACTTGTGTTCTTCTTGCAAAAATCGGCAGGTCCCACGTACCTTGAGAACCGATGTTATGCAAAGCATGCCGAGGGAAGGTGACTTTGTTGTAATTAGCAAAATGTTACGAAATGATGCTGAAGATATGTACAAGTGTTGTACACAAAGACTTATGTTGAACCGTTGCATGTTTCATATAACGTGTTGCTTATACTTGCGTAACAATGCCAGCAGCAACATGAGTGTTATTAATCAAAAGCGTTAAGCTGATATTTAGCGCTTATTTGTGTGAGGATGGTAGCCCTGGACGCTGCTACATATCAACCTCAGTAGATGGCACTTCACTACATTTGTCGTTAAGCTGGCTTGATGGCACTATCATAGGAGTGCACATGTAATTGTTATAAAATTATATAGTTAGCATTGCAGCCACAGTTGACATGTCACTAACATTATGCCTGAATAGTGTCTTTTTTTAAAGCAGGATTGAGACCTGGCCTGGCACCGTGATAGAATACTTAATTGTCTCACAGAATACTTGGGTTCAATTCCTGCAGGGGTTCTGATATTTATTCTTTTCTTTAGCTTTTTCTTATGTTTTTGCTTTAAAGTTACCAATGTCTGTTCTCGTCATTCCTAGTTAGACAAGCTGTCAATCACCTGTGGCACATACCAGCCCATGGTATATGAGTATGGGCCACACATATCTGGCGAAAAGGGTTTAACGATCTATGTGATGGGATTGTCACATTCCTCTTGTTAGGACCAGCAAGTCATATTCATCAAATCATCTTGCCCTGCTATACTAATTTATGTTCAGCCCAAGTTGAGGGGGTGATGGCGAGAGCACCCAGACGCACACCGCTAGATAAACAGACAGACAAGACAGACAGACAGACAACCCGCCACGGTGGTCTAGTGGCTAAGGCACTCGGCTGCTGGCCCGCAGGTCGCTGGACCGAATCTCGGCCGTGGCAGCGGCATTTACAATGGAGGTAAAAATGCTTGGAGCCTGTGTGCTTAAATTTAGGTGCATGTTAAAAAACACCTGATGGTCAAAATTTCTGGAGCCCTCCACTACGGCATCTCATTGTCATATGGTACCATATAAACCGGACTATAGGTCGAGTGGGAGTATAGGTCGACCCCTCAAGTTCAAGTTACCGAAAAAGAAAAAAAGTAAACAACCCAAAACTGCCGAACCACATTTATTTGCGAATTGGGGGCACCGCATCCCGATCATCGGAGCACCACTGTCTTCTGAAGACGAGAGTTTGTCGCTGTCCGCCTCCCACAGTGCATCGTCTTCAGTGCAATTTAGCGAGTTGCTGATGCAACATTTCTTGAAAGAATTTTTCACCATGGAATCCGGCAAGAAGCACCAGGCGGAAAGCACCCAGCCACAAAGAGTCGCGAGCGGAGGCCTTTGTAGGCGGCTCGCCGGTGTCTTGGGGTTGTCACCGGACATTCACTCTTGGTATTCCAGCTGCACTCGGTCCTTGAACGGCTTGTTTAGTACAACGTCGAGCGGCTAAAGGGTGGACGTCATACCACCTGGTATCACGGCGAGGTCCGTTTTCCCGTCGTCGAGTGCGCGTTTCACTGCGCCGGTTAAGTGGCCACGAAACGCATCCAACACCAGCATGCTGCGAAGACGCAGCAGTGCACCTGGCCGACGGTTCCACACCACTCGTATCCATTCGAGCATCATGGCCTCGTCCATGTATCCCTTTTTGTTGACGCGAACGACAACACCGGGCGGGAACACTTCCTTCGGCATTGTCTTGCGTTTGAAAATGACGAAGGGCAGAAGCTTTCTACCATCTGCCGTGCATGCCAGCATGACGGTGAAGCGCGAGTGCTCGTTGCCAGTGGACAGCAGCTTCACATCCTTGGCGCCGCGCTGCGTGATCGTGGTCGACGAAGGCATGTCAAACCACACGGGGGTCTCATCGGCGTTGCCAATCTGCCCCATCATGTAGTCGTTCTGCTCCCGAAGCCGGTTTACAAAGCGCTGAAAGTTTATGAGCTTGTCCTCGAACTCCTCCTGCAACTTTTGACAGATGGATGCGCGCCGCCAAAAAGAAAATCCTTTGCGTCGCCTAAATCGGCGCACCCAAGAGTTCGGTGCACGAAACTCTTCTCTCGTGAGCCCAGCTTCCCGAGCGAGTTCTACGGCTTTCTTGCGAATGGTATCGGCGGTCACTGGCAGCGAGCGCGCACGAACTTCCCGCACAAAGTCCGCTAGCTTATCCTCCAGCTGCGGATGAACGGCACTTCGTCCACGAAACGACATTTTTCAAGGATTGCACATCTGCAGTTTCCCTTTCTGCGCCCTCCAATAGCACACGCTTTTTTCCGATACACCAAAGCGGTGCTGAGCAGCCATATTCCCGTTCGCTTCTGCGAACTCAACAACATCTAGTTTAAACGCAGCTGAGTACTGCCTCCTCGCACCGCTAGACATATTCAGTGAACGAAAAAAAAAAGGCAACTAAAAATACAGCGCAATGCCAAGCAAAGCTAAAACTCAGAACAGATCGGAAGCAAATCACGAACACAAAGAAAACAGACTGCGATTGGATTTGGATGCGGATATAGCCGCGTCTGGCTTCACAAGCACATGCAGGCCATATGTTGCCAAACAGCGTCGCACTTTCGGCTAGACACCACTATATAAGACGAGGGGCGACTTTAGCTTATTATTTTATTGAAAATATCTCGACTTATATTCTGGTTTATACAGCAGTTTTGGGACGTTAAAACCGAACAATTGTTATTTGACATACAGATGCTAAAAGTGTGGCAAGGAAAGGCTTTCCATTTAATATATACTGCTTGGAAAAATCATCAGGATTTTGCAAACAGTGTTGGTAAAAAAATGTCAGCCTTAATTACTTCATGCATTTTACATTGGGCTCTTTAAAGGGGCAGACTGGTTTTAGAAGGTTTTGTTTATTTCTTCAGTGATCTTGATCAAACTGCACAGGATTATGCAGTTTTTTTCTACTGATTTCAAATATTTAATTAATTCTCCTATAACTGATCTTGGAAAAATCATCAGGATTTTGCAAACAGTGTTGGTAAAAAAATGTCAGCCTTAATTACTTCATGCATTTTACATTGGTCTCTTTAAAGGGGCAGACTGGTTTTAGAAGGTTTTGTTTATTTCTTCAGTGATCTTGATCAAACTGCACAGGATTATGCAGTTTTTTTCTACTGATTTCAAATATTTAATTAATTTTCCTATAACTGATCTTGTTCCTGAGATAACTTAAGTTCACCTCCTATTATTTAAGGCTGCCATAGAAAAAAAAAGTGCCTAATTAAAGGTGATATTTATTATATGCAAACATAGACTAGTGACTATAGGTTGAAAGTATGCAAGAGTTTTTTGTTTTTAGGCCTTTTTTGGTTATTTTACAGCAAAATGAACTATCCATTTTCAAAAGCAGTTAGAATTGTGTTACAGTTTTGCTGAGTAATTAATTAAAAAGGCTTGTGGCCTAAATTCTGCTCACATACTTGCATTCTAGGCACATACAGGTTTTCATTTGAAAAATAATTATTGTTGTACGTGCCCTAGCTGCAGAGATACTGAGGCCTCAAAATTGAACAGTCGTAGATTTACTTTTTTGAGAAAAATGGAAAAAACTGAAAACACACAGCTTCTTCAAAAAGCAACAATTATGGTGCGCATGTTTTGCAATCCTCATAAAGGTGCTCATAAATTCGTAGCAGAGCTTCTAAGATATGTGCTAGCAAAATATAAGGAAGCCTTGAAGTCGGTCCCCCGCTTTTTTTTTGCAGGTTCTGCACATGTTAGCAGCACCGAGAATCTGGACAGTTAGAATGACATTACAAAAACATTACCACGTTCTGGTGTGTGAAAATAAGCAGAGAGACAGAAAAATACTTGGGAAAACCATATACAGTCGAGCCCACATATAACGGCCCCACTTAAAACGAACTTTCGCTTAAAACGAACAATATTTGCGTGACCGTCAAAATATACATTGGTTCAATGGCACAAAATCGCACTTACAACGAACGTCTTCGAGCGCCGCTGAACGGTTACAGCGAATGGAGTGAGCAGTCTGCCGACTTCCAGGGAAACCAATTTCGACCACCGATCAGGCATCGGCGAAGTGCCCATACATTCTTGTTGTTAAATGCCGACTCTGCCTCCGCGACTCTTAAGTTGCCACTCTCCCCTACCCATGGAGGAAGGAAAGCTGTTTCCTTTCTCCATGTCCCGACTGCTTTTTGTTACGCACCTCTCCGTCCTTTGTCCCCCCCGCTACTCTGAGCGCCCCGCATCGCCAGACGAGGCCTGTGTTTTCACATTGCCACTGATCTTTTGAAGACCGGTCGGCCATCTACCCTGTTTTTGATCGCTGGCACTGTCGTTGGCGTCGCCGGCCTAGAGTGACCAGACCATTTACCAACATCGTCGGCCACCGACTGTATCCGATATTCGGCGTCTAGTGCACGCGCGTACGCTACCCCACCAACTCTGATAATTTGCGATTCGTTTCGTGTTTAGGACTTGTTCTCGCTCACTTTGCACTCAACTCATCATGCCTCCCGGGCGCCTGCGGAAGCGCGAGATCGGCTGTTAATTTGCACGAAACAAATCGTGAAATACCGAAGTTCGTGAGGCTACGCAAACCCGCCAACGCAACAAAACGATTTTTGGCCACGGCCGCTGATTCTTCGAACACCGCCGCGCGCAGGCACTCTTTCCAAGTTTTTTTATGTGCGAGTTTCGCAGACCTTTCAAGCAAGCTAACCAACGTGCCTCCTTCCCGTGTGTTTTGGTTTTCAAGGCCGCCCTCCCGCCGCATCCTCCCTCCTTTTTATTGTAACTCCTTGCCCTTCTTTCGCAAGTCTGCTCTCCTCTCTCGATCACAACCCCTTTGCCCATCTCCACCGCTCCGCGACGCCTGCCACGCTGGCTCGAATTCGTTTCGTTTTCTTACTGGAAACGGGCCCAGAACTGTTCTACGTGTTTTGGCATGTGTGTCGCGTGTGCGTGTCTTGCTTGCTGTTGGTGTGGGTGTGTGGTCATGGTGGCCGACAAGAGGACCAGCACGCTTTTTCCTGCCACTCAACAAAACTTCGAAAGTGTGACCGCTTGGCTTGAGCGTAATTCGTGCGTTAGGTGCCGCGATGCGGAGCGCTTGCTCATAGCTATTGACCACCTGGCAGCCAACTTGCCGCTTCGGGCGTCCCGGTATTCACCTGAGTGTGGAGATGGTGAATATTTCGTGGGTGACGGTGACGGCTACATGTGCGCGGAACTATTTTTGCGAGGCTGACTTCGTAGACCTCGGGCCCGATGCCGAGCCTGAAGCTTCTGAACTGCGGCGGCGATTTGTGGCAGCGCGTCGTCGACTCCGACCTGGGACAGCGGGTGGGACATCTGTTGCGGTGGTTTAATTACGGCCGAAGATGAAGCCGACACTGCGAAACCGTGAACGGATTGGGGCATTGTGAATGAAGTATGTGGCAAGAGCGATTTGGAGGAATCGGATTGCAAGAACGACGAAACTTCGGAGCCAGTGCCTCATGCAGCTTATGCCACGGGCCTCGGCGAACGAGCACCCTGCCATTTTAAATGAACTTGAGACCGCCGGTATCGCTTCTGCTCTTCGAAACGCGTGCATCACGGACTTTTGGGGGCAAAAAAAGCTTGTGTTTGCGCTCGCAACTTTTTAAAAAGCTGTGTTTCATTTACTACGAACTTCGAGATGCAGCGAACGGATGCCGCCTCACGCTCAGGCTCGTTATAAGCGGGCTCGACTGTATGCTAATTTTAAAAAATAAATTTTTTTCACTTTTTGCTCCCAAAGACCAATCTGCCCCCTCAATAGGTTTTCTATTCTTTATCTTCTTGTTACATACTTCCAAAAAGCTTTTTTCTTCTGTCTTTTGTCTTTCTTGTCTCAGCCACATACAGTGCAGTCCACTTAAACAATATCCAAATGCCAATTAAATCTCATTGTTATAACGGATATTTGTTATAAACGGGTTGGGTAAAAAAAAGACAGAAGAGGGGCCAAACATTTTTTGTGCATGCAAGTAAGGTAGGGCAACTATGTACATGTTTGCAGAAAAGTGGTAATCTCTCAGCCTTGACAGCTCCACGGGAAAGGTTTCGCACATCTTTCTCAAGAGCATCAAGGTGCTTCCAGTAGTTTGAAGGGGTATTCACATGAGGGATAGATTCTTGGGAGAAAAGCGAGGATTGTCGATCATGTGACAGAGATGTCATAAATTAGCGATTAGGCATGACCTCCATGTGTCTTATCTACTATGAGAAGATGGGGACCTTTTGCCCGACTAGACAAACGGTCCCCCGCGTCTCTTCGGGCGGGCGTGAAGAATGACATTTTTGTTCAGTTTGGGTTTGCAACAGCAAAAGTGTGTGAAATACTGTTGGGACCCAGCCTTCTACAAGCTACCTCTCCGTTTGCTTCGACCGTGTAAGTTGGGGACATTTGTTTTGTGGGGAAATATCCCCCTCAGTTGACGTCACTAGGCTCTGCCTTTATCCCCTGATGATTTGTCCCCGGTGTGAATACCCCTTGAACGGGAAATCCTTCGCAAAAACCAAGTTCCTTGTGGGTAGGCCACGTTGTCGCCACTCCCACTGCTGCCTGTAACACGTATATGATTGCCTTATCACTGAGGCACTCATGTGTTTCCGCATCATTGTCTGCACGAAGTAAGGGGACGAGGCATGGCACATATTTGTTAAGGGGGCAGACTGGTCTTAGATATTTTTTTATTTATGTCTTTAGTGATCCTGATGAAACTGCACATGATTATGCAGTTCTTTCTGCTGATTTCAAATATTTAATTTCATCTTGTTCTTGCGATAACTTCACCCCCTATTGTTCAAGGCTGCCATAAAAAAAAAGTGCGTAATTAAAAGTGATAGGTAAGATATGTCAACATAGACTAATGGCTATAGATTGAAAGTATGCAATAGTTTTTTGTCTTTAGGCCTTTCTTGGTTATTTTACAGCAAAATGAACTATCCATTTTCAAAAGCAGTTGGAATTGTGTTACAATTTTGATGAGTAAATAATTAAAAAGGCTTGCACTCTAAGTTCTACTTCCATACTTGCATTCTACACACATGCAGGTTTTTATTGCAAAAAGAATTATTGTTGTACCTGCCCTAGCTGTTGAGATATTGAGGCCTCAAAATTGAACAGTCGTAAATTTACATTTTTGAGCAAAATGGAAAAAACTGAACACACACAGCTTCTTCAAAAAGCAACAATCATGGTACGCATGTTTTGCAATCCTCACATAAATGCTCATAAATTTGTAGCAGAGCTTCCAATACAGGCGGTGGCAAATTATTAAGAAGCCTCGAAGTCGCTTGCCATTTTTTGCAGGTTCTGCATTGTGCTAGCACCAAAAATCTGGACAGTTAGAATCTGGACATTGTGAGATCTGGACACTAAGAATCTGGACATTACAAACAAATTACTGCTTCCTGGTGTATGAAAATTTGCATAGAGATAGAAAAATACTTGCCAAAAAATAGAAACCAAATATATTAATTTTAAAAACTGATTTTTTTTTTTGCCACTTTATGGTTCCAAAAACCAGTCTGCCCCCTTAAGCACTGACCGCAATTCCGGCACCTCTTCGTTGATGGGTGCTTCTCCTGGAATCGCTTTCGAAGGAGCTCCTCTCTTCTCGCACTCGACTCGTGGGCTACGTATCGGGTATGTGGTGCACAGTGGTGCATGCTGGGGGCATGGAAATCTTCAGCGGACTCCTCTTAAACTGAACTCGAAGGGGCAAGAAAATTTGTTCCATTTATGAGAAGTTTCATTTAAGCAAAGCCCACGAAATTAATGAAATACGACTTTACTTCAAAAGCACCAACTGTGGCTGATTGAACAAAAACATTTTAAAGTATACACTACCTATATCATTGATTAGAAAGAAGAATGTTGCTAATATTGCTTACAGATATCTCTGTTTACAGCCGCACTTTCTCCAGAAACTATCTTAAAGACAAGACCATGCTGCTTTTTAAAACGGCTCAGACAGCCATCACTCACCCGCAAGTGCTCAATCCCCATGCACGTAGCAATATTTTTGGCCTTCTCTTCGCAAATGGGGTTGCTGATCGGGAAGTTCGCACTGCGCCCACGCTTGAATCAGGGAAAAAGAGCATCCTTGATTTCTTTGTACGCCGCTGTTCTCATCCGCATTCTGTCCGTGGCGAAGTTCACAAGCTTTGCAGCTTCTTCAATCTTTTCTTTGTTTTTAAGTGCCCTCAACAGTATGGACTTGGGTATATTGAACTTTTTCGCAATTTCTGTCTTCGATAGGTCGTTGTGGTCAAATTCTTGAATGATTTTTACTTTTGTTGCGAGCAAAAGTGCCTTGTGTTGCCATTTTTTCGTTTACATTTCAAGTTCACGACAAGATGGAAACAAAAAATGGGCCCCGTATCTGCATGTTACAAAACGTTTATTTGATGTTCTGCGCTAGAATATCGGTAAATGGCATTCTGGAGGCGCTGCGTTCGAGTGCCTCGAGCGTGCAGCGGAGGCAAACAAGCGCATCAAGTCACGTCACACATACATGAGCGCTATCTGGCAGTTGGAAAACGAAGCGCGTGGCTCTGAGACGTGCGCCCGTCTCAGAGGTGATAAGGTATGGAACGCAAGGCGACGAGTAAGTGCCACCACCGTGTCAATTTAGCAATTTTTGTGCAAGCGTTCCGTGGTCAGTGCAGCATGGTAAATGCTACGGTTCTTAGAATTACTTACGGATGCCTTTCTACTAAAAGCCGCACATACAGAATATATACCTGTTGTTCTGTTGCCTCAGATATGCGCAATAGTTCTTTTTAATTGACAATCGCTCAAGTATGGACGCCTCAGATATGCACAATAGTTCTTTTTAATTGACAATCGCACAAGTACGGACGCTGAATCTTGAGCAATATTGGTGGGCGCTGCGGGTGGGGTCGGCTGTTTGGGGTATCGTCTGGTGCCATTCAGAGTACCCAGTACCGTTGGACAAACAGACAAGTGTACAGACGGACAGACAAAAATTTTTGCGTCGAAGGTCCCCAAGAAAGACTATCAGTTTTAAGAAGTTGAAAATGAGATGGGTCGTTTGCTGCTCGGCGTGCGCGGACATGTGCAATCGTTAGATTGGCTTGGCTAGGCTAGCTTCGGCATTTGTTTCATGGTTGCTAGACTGCCGTGGCCCCTTCTGTCGTTCATGGATTTTGCCCCTTTTTGTTTCATTTAACCGAGGTAAGCGAAAAAAAAAAAAATGTTCCGATTACCTGAAACTTTTTATCATTAAATATATAGGAGACCAACCGTATTGTTTGTGCGGCTTTTCCGTTTAAGGGAGTTTCGTTTAATGGGAGTCCATTGTATTTTCGGTGCACGCTGTAGCGAGATTTAACTGCTGAATCCGATATCACGGCATTGAAGCATCTTAGTAAGCGGTTTATTTTACCATGGAAAGCATGGGAAAGTGTATGGGGCTATCATTGTTCACCGTTATATTCGATATGTTGTTACAGATTGTATTGGTACAAGTGGACTCTATAAGGTAAACAGCATCATCACACCATCATTCTATAAAATAGAAATTAGTCGCAATCTTAAACAGTGAGTGAGGCCGGGGCTGAACACAGACGCAAACATACACACTGGCCTTTGATGAGTGTATTCATGTTATATATGGAGTAGTGCCAAGTCTACAGATCTTTAGCACAATAAACCATGTCATCAACAAGTGCATTATGCTTGAATGTGGTATCATGACACTGATTTTGTAACTTGCTCACAAGTCTGTTCTCCCTTCCTCACAGGATTTTGCCAGCCGCTACAGGTCACACAACTCTTCTGCAGGTCAGTGCATTTTTTTGCTATCCTGTAATTTATGAGTAGCACGCCTTTATTCTTGTGGATGGTAAATGTGCAACCTGCCTGTCTTATCATAGCATGAGTTACGTCAACCTCAGAACTATTATTTGTCAATACACGGTGTTTAGGGCTGTGTAAGTGTGCTTAATGATTTCATTCGTCTTGAATACCTCGACAACCATCATTAAGGGGCCTGCCTAATTGACATTTTATAGGCTAATACGAGGCTTGTAGAATAGGGAACTTTAGATTCGAACTGAATAGTCATTTTGTATGAACAATTTCGTATCAAATTCAAATAGTATAAATCACATATGAGAAATAAAAATGGCCAAATTTGTCATTATCCAACTAACCTACAAAATATATTTTAAAACTTGAAACAAGACCTGTGCTAACGCTATTCTTTTTGGCTAAAAGGAAGTGGAAAGAACTTTTAATACTAGCAGGATTTTATTTTCGGCAAAATGCAAATGATAACTGGTAGAATATGTTGCATTGTAAAATTTACTATACTTGAAGCATGCCAGTTGGTATAACAAGCTTTTAAACTGTGAAATGATTTGAGGATAATATCTTCATTTAACCTTGAAGTGGGGCTTTGCTGTAGTGTGGATTTCTTCTAGACACTTGTTTTCACGGCATAGCTTTAATTCACTGCACTTAAATCATTTTTACAAGTGATTACATGTGAACTAATATATATAAATAGGTGCTTTCGCAGCTTTACACCTCTCTACTGCAGTGAAACCATCTTTACAGGAATTACATGCAGACTATTGTAAAAGCTTGCGTATAGCCCGGTTTTTCTTGTTTTTTTCTAGATTTTAGGGTACGAAATATTTGCCCCGTACTATATGCGGGTCCCAATAATTTTCGGCAACTATGATCAATGGTTCTATCATCATCATCAGGTGTTAACGCGCTTCTGTGCCAAGTTTTAGGTAGTGTTAACGGCGGCAGCAGGCATTAGTCTTACAGACCCACGCGTGCAACAGTGGTCAGTGGCCTTTGCTTCAACAGCGTCCATAATGAAAGCCACAATTTTGCTCCTGTGATTTTACGCCATGTCAGCACTGCGCAGGTACTTGACTGCTTTTAAAGGGAAAGTTATCGCTGCTGCCGAAACCATTGGTAACTGTGCCGCGGAGCGGCAGTTCGGAGTCAACGAGCAGAGTATTCGCGGTTGGCGAAAGCAGAAGGATGCCTTTTTGCTTGCAGCGGCCAGCGAAAAAGTTCCCGCAGACCAAAAAAATGGAGCGTTTCGCGACGTGGAATGAGAACTCGCAGATTTTGTGCAATCAGCTGGGAACGAAAAAACGCGGGTGACTGTAATGTTGTCCTACACTGCAGGCGGTCGCATGCTACCAGTTTACATTGTGTTCAAACAAAACATGCTGCCAAAGGGGGAGAAATTCTCAAAAAATATTGCTGTCCCCTCCCAGGACAAGGGGTGGACGGACGAATTGCTAGTGCTTGACTGGATAAAGTCCCTGTGGTGTCGACGACCCGAAGCACTGCTGAGGCTCGCTTTGATGCTTGTGTGCTCGACGAGTTTTGGTGTCACCTGACTGACGCATCCCTCCCGTGATGACATCACAGCTGCAGCCGCTTGTTGTGTGCCTTAAGGGGGGGTGGCTACCATCAGATACCAACTTTTTTTTATTGAGATATCTCAATGAAATTTTCAGGATAGACTAATAGCAAAAGCATTGGAACTACTACAAAATTTCATGAATTTATGTTCCCTGGCTCTCAAGTTACGAATAGTCCGAATAGTTTTCTTATTTGAGGCCTTGAGAACTTTGAAAAAGATGATGGAACTGTGAAATTAACAATTATGATTCTCAGGTTGCTACCTCAGGGGATAACAGAGCTCTTTTTTTTTAATTTTCTTACTGAAAAGTTTTAGCAGACCATCAAATTTAGTGTTGGTGAATGGGATATTAAAAATCAAGTTTTGATTAGGTATCATAAATAACAGACACAATACATTGAAAAAATAGACTTGTCTCCCCCTCAGAAATTTATTCATGTACATAATAAAAAAAGACCTATGAAAATAGAATGAGCGGTTCCCCAGATATGGCTGGAACAAGGAGCCTCACTAGCCAAGTCATTTTGAGAAAACAAGATTTGAAAGTCTTGGGCACATATGTAAATCTAATTAGAACAACCCTACTGCATAACTAGAGGTGTCCTTTGGCACTCTTTCTTCACTGCCTTTCCCTCTTCTCCAAGGATTTCTTCTTGGCCTTCTACAAGCGCAGTGAATCTTTCTCAGCGACCTGTTGAATGGCCAGGTCACGCTCCGTTGATCACGCTTCATCGCTTGAAATTTCCGCTTTGTCTCTGGCATAGCACCGAGTTCTCTTTGAACAGCAGCGCATTGTTTATCCGCCGTCTCTTTCTGTTCGCACATCAGGAAACGTGTTCGCAAGTGCACAGTTGACGACGCGATCACACTCTCGGAGTATTATGGAAGAGAGGATGTGGAAGTTTTTGTCGATGAGCGCGAGACACCAGGCGCACTTGCAACGTTAAATTTTTGCACCGGTGGAGCAGGAGTCACATGTCTAGGTGTGTCGATGCAACCACACTTTTTCGTAGATGAAGAAGTTGTTCCACATGTACTGTTGGCACGATCATCGTCGGCGCACGTGCAAGCCGAGAGCCTCGCCATGCGGACAACCTTCATAGATCGCTTCCTTGCACTGAACACTTGTTGCGTCTTTCTTTTCGTTGAAAGCATCGCGAGCGAATGCAACAATGGCTTGTAAAGACAGTTGAAGGTCGCCTTGTGAAGACGTTTGAAAATCGTTTCGTGAAATTGATTGAAACGCAGAGAGTATGTGAACGGCTGCAACGATAAACGATAGCGAGTGGAACGCCGGGGACAAGAGAGTGACATGCTCATAGAGTCAAAGGGGACAAAAATTGGACGGGATGATAGTGCCGTCTGGGTTCTGTCGGTAATCGTTAAAAGATTGCAAAATTGTTTACTGATAAGTGAAAAAGCTTTTATTATCTTCTACACACAAATATCTTTTTTGAGCCAAATATAACTAATAATATTGTTGGTATAATTTATAACTGCATATAAAATGAAATAGGTTTCAAAAGCACCAAGGCATTTCAATATGGCGGCTGGCCTTCAGCATAGCAGATTACATTGTCTTAATCTGCTTCTGCGTCATGGCCGACCCCCTGTCGGTGAAGCAACCCCCCTTTTCAATTTCTCTCACTTTATTGCAGTAAACTGCTTACTAAAAGGTCATAAGTATCTCGCATATTTTTTTTAGTAAGTTGTGATGCCGCATACAGGCCGGGCAAAATGACAATGCTGTTCAGTGATCACACAAGCTTGCAGCAATAAATCGCTTTGTTACAAGTAAATCGATCGATGTTTACATGAAACAAACGCCATGTAAGTAACATTTTAGCACGTACAGCAATGAACAATATGCATGCATCAGTGTTCATGTGAAAACGAGGTACATTCTATGCATAGCCCCAACACAGATGCCCGGAGCACAGAAGCTGTCCAGCGCTGTCTGATATAACCATCGCAGTTAACAAAACCTTTGCTGCAGTAAGTAAAGGTATACCGCTTACGTCCTTGCACATGAGCTCAAGATTTTGCAGCACCTCGTTGACAGTATTTGGTAGACATTCTGTAATTGGTATCAATATTATTGCGTGCATTTCACAAACAGTGATGCGAGACTGTTTGTTTCCTGCTCCGCGCTGCTGCCAACTAAAGTGTGTCACTTTCCAATTTTCTACGCGTTCGCACTATGCATGCTTCTGAATGCTTAAAATTAAATGAGAAACGGTTTTTTATGCTTGCCATTTTTATGTCTTGCAAATAAAATCGTTGAAAAAAAGGCTTCGTTCGATTTCGTTTACCTATGCCGGCAATGCGCTGTCGTCGTTTCGATGGTGGCAACTCCTCATGGCGGGGCCGCAAAGCTGGCCCCGCCGTGAGGAGTTGCCACCATTGCCGCAAAGTTGCCGCAAAGCAACATGCCACTGGCCTGCCGGGGACGGAGGAGCAGCAGACCACGGAGAGCCACATTATGTGCAAGAGTGCTACGTCAACACGCGCAGCAGCTAATCGAAGTCGCAGAGTCCCTTTCATCCTTGAGGAGCGCGTGTATCGCTCAATCCTGGCGGCACGTCTCTGTCGCTAGAAACTTCAAAGCTCTCGCGAGCCCTCTAATCATAAGCAGCTCGCTCCTCTCCTGCGCTGCCGCCGTCGCCGCGGGTGGCCCGAAAAGGAAGTGCAAGAATTCACAAACAAATACCAAAATGGCGGAGCTCCGTCAAGCAGTGCAATTGCGCCAAGTTGGGCTATTTTGAGTGCTCCCGTGTCGCTCGAGTGCTGCGGCAGTTTGTTGTAAACTTTACTTCTAACAGTTTCACGATGAGTTAGATGTTCATATTTACAGAAAAGGTAGTTTATGACACGCCTGAATATGTGGTTCCCCAAAAATCGACTTTTTCGCGATTTTTCCGTTTTCAAAGGCCGCGTCCTCCCTTAATTAGTCATTTAAGGACCATGTCAAGAACCTGTACGTGGAGTGGATGAGGTCCGGAGAAACAGAAGGGGCCCCGGCCGGACGGCTGAAATTGGCCTCGCCAGCGACTCTGTGCTCATGGATAGTCGAGGCTTGGGCCTGTATTCTTGAGGCGCTCATTTGCCGCAGATTCAAAAAGTTGTCCATCTCGAACGCGCTTGATGGGACTGAGGGTGATGTGCTGCGGGAGAACGTTTCCGACAAGGCGGCCTCAAAAGAGAGTGCGGCCGAAAACGACGATGAACGAAGTGTGTCAATAAATGCATTTTTCCGTTTTACATTGGCTATATTAGGGTGAAAACATTTTTTCTCGCATTTGCTATTCCCAAATTAGACCTCAGAATATATGTGGTTCCGAGCTATATGCGTGCTTTTAAGGTAATATACATTTATTTGTTTGTTTCAAATAATTTGAAATTATTAGTAATTTAAATTTGATTCAAAGTCAGTTCGAATACTCAAAGCATTTGAATAAGAAAGCTGTCATGATGTGTAGTCTAGAGCTGTGGGAATAGCTAATTTTTGTGTGCGAATCGAATCCGGATATCGAATTGTGAGTGCAAATGCAATCGAATATTTTTCCGATACTTCGAAGTGAAATTGCAAGAAGAAAAGAAAGTTGGACAGGATTCCTAAGCATATTCTCATGAGATAGCAAAATGACAGTGTTTCTTTTGGCCAGGTCGATGGAGGGGTGATGTTCTGTAGTTGTCTGATCAGTCCAAGTTGTGTTTATGTACATGATTTGCTGCAACCAAAGTGTTGCCCGAGTTTCAGATTCAAAACAACAATAATTGAGCTGCCACCTCTGCCACGTCTATCATCTCCACGTTGGAACCAACATTTTCTTTAGTCAACACATTTGTAACCATAGTGGAGCCTGAAAGGCAGTTTTAGTCGCCATACGAGAATGCGATGGTGTGAAGCATATTGAAAACCTGAAGGGGCCACTACCAACCAGGCGATAACTGCATTTGCCTTCGGGAAGTTAGAATAATTTGAATAATGAAAATTCCGGTGCTAACCGAATTGAATAGCAAACTCTGTTCGAAAAACATTCCAAATTTCGAATATTCGCTCACTCTTAGTCTAGTCAGTACCTTTGTAACCATAGTAGAGCTTGAGAGGCAGCTTTGCTGCAATACTATAGTGGGATGGAGTGAAGCAAGATTTTATGCTGGTCATATTTACGTAGCTGGCATAGAGCCGGGCCATTGTTGCTTGTAGATGCTGAAGATGTTCTGCGCTGTTTTTGCGGAATCTCGCAGAACTGCGTGCAGTATCACCAAAAAGTTTCAGCCTTGTATCCCTGAATTACTTTAAGGGTGTTTTATTTTGGTGTATTAAGCATGATCGATTCTGAAGAATGAGAATTGCTGTGTCTTCATTTATGTATCTACTTATTATGTATTCATTATGTACAGTCTTTTTTTTATCATGTATTTTTTATTGATACAGTAAAACCTCATTAGTTCGAAGTCACTGGGGCAATGAGAAATCTTTTGAATTAAGCAGGTTATTGAATTAGTGGGACATACAGAAAGTGGGATACAAGGAACTCGGAATTATACAAAAATAATTGGGATTGGGAGTGGTTTGCTGTTCCGACTAGTTTGCGGCTCCAAGGGTTATGTTCTCCAGCAATACCAGGTCAAAATTCTGCCGTAAACACAGAAAAATGGCAGGCCATGCTGCTGCCACTGCAAAAAAAAAAAAGGAGAGAGAGAGATAGAGAGAGAAAAAAAAAACGCTGTCGTGTGCAACTGAAATGCGTGCCTGCGGAATACAAGGCATCTTCACTGCAACACAGTAATGACATGTGGGCAGCATGTCACCTGTTTTTTTGTTGCTTCAATGCGTCATGATGTGAGCCCATTCTTTCGGGTAGAATTAAGAATGTAATAATGGCCGGTATGACAAAGTTCGCTCTGTGTTTTGGCGGAAAGCATGATCATTGAATCTTTCAAACTTAGTTTTCAAAATGGGCGTTGCAGGCAAGAACGCTGTCAAGTGTGCAAGTGGAAAATTGCTGGAGCAGTCGGCAGTCGGAGGTTTGCGTACATCATGAATTTCGCCAAACTGTACTTTATTACTTTCTTTATATTCCCAGAAAGAATGGGTAAATCATGACCCGCTGGCGTCGCAAATTGCAGTGAAGCACGGCTTGTTATCTGCAGGCACACATTTCAGTTAAACAGAAGACCCCCCCAACTCTTCTTCTTCTTTTTGTTTTTTTCACTGGCAGTAGCGAGGCTGTGGCACTTCACCTGCCACTCATTAGTGTGGCTACGTAGAACTGCCTTGTGGCTATTAAGCATTGTCCTTTACGCAAAGTTGCGGCAAAATTGTGAAAGGAAATTAGCACATGGCACCGAAAGGTGTTACCGCCGCTTCAAATTTTCCCCTCAGACTTGCATTGCAAAATATCTATCTGACCGCAGAAATATTTCAAATTATGTGGGATTTCGAAATAACCCAGTTCGAATTTATGAGGTTTAACTGCATCCTGCCTGCTTAGTAGTAACCCTGACCTATTGATGGCCATGGAAAATGGGGCCCTAAAGCCCAATAGTCGGTTTAGCCTTTAAAAGTGCTTGTTGATGAACAACTAGTGTTTCTTTGCACATGTTGAATGCTTTAGTGTGCAAAGAAAAGCTTACATGCCTGTGAGCTTTTCGTGTCATTTGGATGAGCTGAAGAGGAGCTGTGTGTGCCCGAGTAGAGTTGAGAATGTTTTTTGGCAATAATGCCCTTTCCCCTGTAGTCGCATGTGCATGACCTAACTGTTGTTGTTGTGGCCTGTGGCTGCGTGCATGTGTTCTGGCAGAGTCATCGCCGCAGGCAGCACGCAGCTTTTGGTGCAATGGCTTCCCGTCCTTGTCGTACTCCCCTCCACCCCGCGGGACCCCTTCGTCATCATCCCACCACCTGACCCTGCCCCATCCATCAGGGAGCGCCTACAAGCGGCACGCCTATGCGTACGCCTCACAGAGGGCGCCACCATCGGGAGGTGCGTGTTGTTACCGCGTGTTTAGTCCACAGACTTCTCTCTTTTGCTCTTTTCTTGTTCTTGCTTTATGGTTTTCACATATAGAAGCGCAGGCAACTTGCACAGAGGGCTCAAGCTATAGAAGAGCCGGAGAGTTTGACATTGTGTCTGCAGTGAAAGCTTGTTAATTTTAATTTCGCACGACTGAAATAATGTCCACGTTAAGCCAATGCTGAACTCTAAAGCATCAAGGAAACGATGAGCAAGCACCTGTTGCATCAGTGCATTATCATTTCCTTGACGAATACCTGAATCCAGTTCCTATTGTGCATAGAAGCTGCATAAAAACCTTTTTATTCATGGCTTTATTTGAAATGTTACCATAGCCGAAAACACCCATGTTTTAAGGGGGAGGTGGCGATCGAAACAAACTTTTTTGTTTGTTGACCTGGAGTAATGAAATTTTGCAGGCATACTGAAGAGTGTCTCGAATAGCTATATATGAAGTTTCCTTGCAATATCTCAAGTAGTTTTCAAGTTGCACTACGTCACATAATTTGATGACATAGTCTGCTAGTAAAAAGCCTTGCATTGTAACAAAACATGCCAGGAAGGTCCAAGTGGTTTTGCTCTTTACTCGAAAGAACACTACACGGGATCGTAATATCAAAAATTGCCTATTCCTTTTAGTTTCTTTGCAAATAAAATCCCCATCATCTTCATGTATTGCAACTGAGCTTCTCATACACTAATTATCACATACAAAAGGTAGATCGTAAACAAGGTAAATAATAATGCCATCCTGTCAGCAAGGCTTCAAGGAATAAATAAAAAACAACAACAAAGCAGCCTGAAAATTGGTTAGCTTAGCAACACTAAGTGCCCAAAACACACTTCACCTTCATCAGAATGCACCAGAACAGTAGTCTTTGGTGTCCATGCCTGCAGGTGGCCTTTTGGTCCTCTGCTTCTTCATCTGGTGCACGTTTGATGATTTTCTAGCACGCTGGCTGTCCTTTCTTGCTGCCTCTGGAGGGCAACGTTTCCAGGTTTTACACCTAGTGCAGTGCACATATCGATGTAAGCTCGCAAGTTGCCTGCATTGTACTTTGCTTCATGCGCTGTTGCTTTCACAAGAAGAGGGAGGCATGCTGCTGGTTGGATATCAGTGACCAAATCACCGAGTGGAGGCTCTCAGCAACATTTTGAGTCTTCTTGTAGCTACATTGTGCCAGCAGTTGAGGGTCGGAAAGGTGTTGATAGATGGGCCGCATTGCTTCTATAACCTTGCTCATTCATCATCGCCCAAAAGTCATTTATGGCAGTAGGTTCTTTTCCGGTCTCCTGATTGCCTGCACTGATCTAACATTTATATCAAACACTCTCGCTCCCTCTTTTCTCTTTGATGACCAGTGAGAGCTGGCTGTGCTGCAAGAACGACATATTAGCACCATTTTCATGGCAAGTCCAAGCCTTGTGTCATCCAAGCCTTGTGTCCCAGTAAAGCAGGGTCTTGCTCATGACAAATTGGGCAGAGTGTTTTCCGATCATCGCGTTCAGACCGGCCATCTGAAAAAGCACGTACACTCAAACTTCGTTATAACGATATTGAAGGGCAGCCACAATTATTTCGTTATATCGATTATAACAGTTTGTGGCAATGTATGCTCAGACAGGCGCACACCTATAAGCATGCAAAAAAGAAAACCGCCTCGCGGTCTGATGTACCGTGACGTGAACACGCGTGCCACGGAAAATAAACTCAGTCGAATCTCATTAGTTTGAACTTTCGGGTAATTCGAACTCGCGCTAAGGTCCCGTCAAAGCTATGTGTATTCCAATGAGCGAAAACGCCCTGTAATTCGAACGCGCAAGCACTTGCGACGGTTAATTCGAACATACCGCGCTTCGAAAATGCTCTCAGCACCATGCCCGATTCCGCGGCGGCACCTCTCAACGCTGCGTGCGAAGAAGAAAAAAAAAGAAACGGAAAGAAAAGACCGTGGCGGATTGTTTGCTCTCTCCCAAATGCCGATCTGCGACGCGCCTGTGCCACGTTTCTCCCGTTTCCGTCTCTGCACGTAGAGACCCTTCTCCTTTCAAGGCCGCACGTGGAGAGAGGGGAAAAAAAAAGAAAGCTGTCGCGAAGAGTCCTTTCTCAATGCAGAGGGTAGCAGTCATAATAGCAGCAGAGATGCAGTCGTTGCCGTCGTGAGAGGGAAAACGCATTGCACCGCAGCGCCCCGTCTCGGTCATGTGACCTGCTGAGTACTCCCTTAATCTTCTCCACTGGCTGTGTGAGAAAGACTGCTCTCTCGGCCGCGCCGGGCACGGCTGTAAGGTCGGCACGAGAGTTATGAAAGAGCCGTGTCGAACGAGCGTCAAACTCCGCAGAAAACGGTATGCTTAACACACTACGGTCGGTTTTTCTTTTTTGATAGACCATTTGATAGACTAATTTAGTTCGTTATATCCATTTAACGGTCAATTTTACTTCGTTACAGCAAGGTTTAAAATGCATGGTTCTCAATGGAGCTTTCAAGGGGAATTTCATTTACTTCGTTTTATTCATTATTGCGTTGTATCCCGTTATGTTCAACAAGGTTTGAGCGCATTCTTCATCTTCTGGTACAGACATCGCTTCACGTTCCTGAGACGTGGTCAGTGCGAATTCCCGTTCAGTTGTCGACATCGCACCGAGCGACTCGCGAACTGTTTTCGACTGCGCCTCTACCGTTCTCGGACAGAAAGCTTGGTTGAATATGCCCTTGAATCGTACGACGCTCACCAAGCAAACTTTCGTTACTGCGGCTGCCGACGCGCCTGTCATTTTCGCATCGATCGTTTCACTGTCATGCTGAACACCCCGATCCTGGTTAGGCGAGCGTGCAGCCACACGTTGGTGCATAATAACATCGATAAGCATGCCTTCTGTTGATGACTCGGATACGCACTTGCGTTGCGTCAACTCTGCATTGTTCGCTAAGTCGCGATAGCTTGTTGGTGGCTGAGTATCCAGGGTGACTTCGTTATCGCCGACTGACTGCTGACTTGGTGGGGGTTTCCGCGAATGATGTGGAATAGGCGGACAACACTTTCGTTTTTTTTTTTTCAAAGCGAGCGCAGTAGCGCGTTTCTTGTGAAACGTGCGATTCATCACCACAAATCACGTCTGAAACTTCCGACGAGCCTCCTCGACATGCACACATCCCATGCACAGAGTTGAAACGAAACTGCTGAGCTCTACATGTGCGGCTGAATAAACTCGGCTGGGTAATGCAGAATCATTGGTGGCTGATATGCGTCTCTGAAGGCCTGTGACTATAGTGGTTGTTCGCGAATGCTGGTCTCTGGTGAATTTCTGGCAGCGTTAGACCTGTGTCAGTCTGCTTTTATCGTCAGACCAACTACTGGTAATTGAAACTCTGAAAACGTTGCACCTTTGATAATTTATTTATGCTGAATAATCGTCACCTTCTGCTTCTTTTCTGCTCTTCTTGCCTGCCTTTGTTGCACACCCAGTCCTTCATTTTCGTTGCGGCTTGATCATCATATTTGCTTGATGCTCTTGTTATTTACAATGCAGCACACTGTCTTTTGTTTCAGCTGGGCGCTTTCGGTAACACATAAATCGACAAGTGAGTGTTTTACGCATGTGGCATCATACATCTACCAAGTGAAGTCTCATTTTCACAAAAGCTTTTTTAAGTTTTTCTAATGTAAATTGTGCTGTAGAAAGTTTTTGTTTCCTTTGTTAGAGCACTGACGAGTTTTATTTTGCCACAATGAGATATGTACCCTCGCAAAATGTAACAAAGGGTTTAAAAATGGGATCTCAGTTTTGTTACTAGAATATGCTAAAGATTGCATTCACTGGTCTAGATTGCAACCTGTGGCCGGCGGAGCAGGTTTATGCAGCGTGGCACGATACGAGACCCTCTTCTTCCTTGGCCCTAAATAAAGGCCGACATGGCAGTTTTGACATGAAATAAAGTTTTCGCTTGCAACCTATGTTTGTAAAAAACAACCTTGTGAAATACGGGCAGGAAATATCATTTCGGTTTTGCACATTACTGTCAATTTGCTAAATTTTTTCTACTTGCCTTCGAAATCCTCCCCTCTTTTCCCCCCTCTGATTTGACGTGCGGCCCCCGCTTCGTCGGCTTGATGCAAACTTGGCCCTCTGCCTCAAAAAGCTTGCCAACCCCTGCTCTAAATCATGATCCTCTTTCTTGGGAAGGTTTATGGGGAACCAGCAATGGAGTTTCCGCAACAGCACCCTGTCGGGCACCGCCGAAAACATTTGAGCCTACAAACCAATACAAGTGGCTGTTCAATCATCGCGCATGGTGCGATGATTGAACAAGAAAAAAGAAGCTTTGATATGAGGAACAAGAAAAAAGATGCTTTGAGACTGGCGTTATTTTTGTAATCACAAATGCCACAACCATAAAAGTTTTTTTAGTAACAGAAAAAAAAATCTAGCATAGTTGACTTTCTGTGGCCTCGCTTTCCATCATTGCATGTGGCTTGAAAACATTAAAGAAAGCACATGAAAACTTAGGCTGGGTGAGCGTCTCGCTGTGTATTACACATTGTATTCGATTTTGACACGACCACAATTGTAACGTGAGAGGTGATGTTCCATTATGTTGTAGCGGGCGATGACGCCGGTGATCGCGATAATTTTATTTGTGTGTGCATGCCAATTCGTATGCCGAGGCGCACGGCGCAGACGCGGCCAACATGCCTCACGTTATCTCCGGAGGGCCGCGGAAGATACGCCCCTTTTGGTTGTCGTTTTCGAAGCCTGTTTTTTTTTGGAAAATAAACTAGTCTTGTCCCAAACTTCAAGGAGTGTAGGTGCCTTCTTTTCGTGCCTCCGTGGGGCGAGTACGCTACAAAGTGGTCACCCAGACGTTTGGAAAAACAGCAGCCCTGTCAGACGAGGAAGGCACTTTAAGCTCACCCACAACCAATGCCTCGGAGTTAAAGCTTCCTGATTTCTGGCCCAAAAACCC